TGCCAAGGACTTCATTTTCTCAACACCTAAATGACCCCTATGAAGATCTTCAAGAACAGATTTACGCAATGAAGGAGGAATGACAACACGATCATTTAAACACAGAATACCATCAGGAGTAGTAGATAGCTCATCTCGCTTTGAAAAATAGATGGGAAATCTCCGTTTCAAATTAGCATTCCAACCTTTCCTTATAGCACTGAGTATACATCCAAAATATCTACGAGTTTCTCTAATGAGATCTGAACGTCTCACTGGTAAAGGTTGCACTAACAAACAATCCGAAGTAATAATAGGTTTATCTTGTAATGACTGTCGAGAAATGTAATCAACATGTTGAATCTGTTTGGCACTTCTGTGCTGAACGGTATAGTCATATGCACTCAAAGCAATACTCCATCGCTGAACCATAGCTGCTGAGGAACGTGCTAAGGATTTTTCGGGATGATAAATAAACTTTAAAGCTTCATGATCAGTAACAATAGTAAATTTTTTTCCGAATAAATATTTATGAAGTCTTTTAACAGCCCAAAACACAGCTAATGCTTCTCGCTGAGTCTGTGAATAACCTTGTTCAGTAACAGTAAGTTTGCGTGAAACACAAATAACTGGTCTACCTTCCTGTTCCAAAACTGCACCAATTCCCACAGGTGATGCATCAGTAATAAGCACAGAATGTACATTAGGGGAGTACGTTCGAAGAACAGCATCACTTTGAAGAAACTTCAGCAGACTTTGTAAGCATGACTCTTGTTCCTCACTCCATTTGAATGAATTGGATGTTAAAATATTAAATAAACAATTTGCACGACAAGAAAAATTAGGAATAAAACGAGAATAGTATTGAAGAGCACCCACTAGTGAACGTAATTCTGTAAGATTTTTTGGAGACGGTGCATTAGTCAGTGGAGCTAGTTGTTTCATATCTGGTCTAAAACCATTACCATCAACTAGGTATCCAAGGCATTCAAAACTAGATACACAAAATGAACACTTATTTGGATTCACTGTTATATTCTTCTCAATTAAACGACGCAATAAAGCAATAAGTCTCTGGTCATGAACTACCTTATTAGAGCCATGAACAATGAGATCATCTTGATAAACTTCAACACCTTCAAGATCACTAACTACATTATTCATAACTTCCTGAAATATGGCTGGAGAACAACTTAGACCAAATGGAAGGAAATTGTATTTGAACAGACCAAAAGGAGTGTTAATTGTCGTCAAAATAGATGAAGATTCATCTAAAGGAATTTGAAGATAAGCATCTTTTAGGTCAACTTTCGAGAACACTTTAGAACCATGAAGTCGATTTAGAATATCTTCAGCTTCTACCGTCGTGCACGTTTGCTTCAACAAACGGGAATTCAGAGTTAATCTATAGTCACCACAAATTCTAGGGGTCTTGCCGTCCGACTCCAGTGGCGTAACGATAGGAGTACCCCATGCTGAAGACTGAATTGGTTCAATTATGCCTTTCACACACAAATCGTTTAATGTCTTATGTACTGCTTCTCGAAGACCATAAGGAATTATTCGTCTTTTAAGAAAGACGGGATCACCCTGTACTTGAAGTTTTATAGGCTTAATTTTCATACCTCCACTGCACTTAGCACACATAGCTATCAAATCTTTAAGTAAAGTATCAGAATTTTCTTTAGAAACTAAGAAGGACAACTCCACCTTAAGCCTTTTCAGATTCTTTAAACCCAATATTGACAGTCCTGTTTCGCTAACTAAAAATTCACAAGGTATGTATGAAGAATTATCATCTCTGATTAGCAATTCACAACATCCTCGTATGGGCAGTCTGTGTCCAGTAATCCCCAGTATTGATACTTCAGTGGGTCGTACAACAACGTTAGGATCTAAAGTTTTCAAGTTCTTGAATGAAATAATGGACTCTATACTGCCTGTGTCCAGAATAAAGTCATGAAATGAACCAAGCGATGTATATAATCGCTTCTGAATATGAGCATTACCTTTCGAAATAGTGGACAAAGACAAATGATCACTAGAAACATCCGAATTATTGAAATTTAAATTACAAGATTTAGTACAGCTCGAAGCAAAATGGACAGTAGCTTTGCATACTGACTGAATGTGTCCTACCTTACCACATTTAAAACATTTAGCATTACGAAATACACATGAATTGCGAGCATGAAACTTTCCACATGATAAACATTTACCAAAATTCATCTCACCTTTGTGATTTGCTTTGTAATTCCTCGTTGAAACACCTTTCATATTTACACGAGAATAGGAATCACTGTTAAATGAACGCAAGTTTGATTGACCCTGAGATTGTAGTTCATCACGACGACTAAGCAAAGTATTAGAAATCTTCATCGACTGGATATCAAGTTCATTGACTGCTTCGTAGTTAATACATGCAGTTCTAGCATCTTGAAAGGAACAGTTTGGCATTCTTAACAGCTCTCTTTCCAAACTCGGTATGTTGATTCCTGCAATTAATCGATCTCTCAGTTGCACATGAAGTTGATCACCGAAATTACACTTGGCAGCTTGTTTCTGTAATTCAAGGATGAATTCCCGAACCTTTTGGTCATTTTGACGAACCATCTTATGAAACTTCGCCCTTTCACGGCATTCAAAACTGGTGCATTTTACATGACTTAACAATAGCTCTTTAAGAGTTGCATAAGGAAGTGAGATAGGTTTTTCTGGATATGCCAAAGTTTTTAATAAGCTGTACGCTTCTCTCCCAATGAATGTCAGAAAATGTGCCACAATTTTCTCACCTTTAACGTCTTTCTTGGTCATGCTCCAAATTTCGAACCTTTCCAAATAATCCTCAATAGCTTCAGGAGTTGAATGAATATCCAACTTTTCCATTGCAGGTTCCATCGCGACGCCAATATAGTATTCTAATTATCGTATGAATTAGGAATTCCAGGATTAACGCAATTGAATTAAGAAGACACAGGCACCAACGAATGTATTGTATTTAGAATTTGAAATCAAGCATTCAACCAGTACAAAGGTATCATTAGTCCATTCAAACACCACAATTAGTTTTTCGACATTAAAAATATGTTTTTGGCTAGCTATTAACCACCCGACTTAAGCTTCCCCCTAGAACCGCCTTCGACAGGAATGTTGGTTCGATCAGATTATTAAACAGAAACGAGTCAGTTCGGTTTACTCGGCTAAATGGAGAACGGCCATCTAATTCAGTGTTTTGCCTTGTCAATTTTACAGTCAGTAACGGTAATCGCTGAATCAACATTTCAAGGTAGTCCTAAGCCTGACTAACTCAATCTCGATAGCATTACCCTTCTTTACACAAATCATCCCACATCAATTGTTAAATGTGCTCTCTACGTGGGAATCAGAGCTAGTTAGCGAATGGAATGTAGGAAAATGAAACGAGAATATCTGGGTAAATGCTGCGAGTCGGTTGCTCAACACCATGTTGGTGAAGTACGGTTTTCAAAAGCTCACTCAGGCTGTCAGCTATTCAACGCAAAAGTTAGAAATAAAAAAAAATTGCTTTAAAAAATACACAGATAAAGTCAGCCGGTTTTAAGAGATTCTCATTTGTTAAATACGAAAACGAATCTCGGTTCAACATAAATGTTTGATCTCTCTGAACTTATTGATATTCTGCAGTAGATTAGACATAATGTAGACATTTTTGACGCAAAAGTGCATTTAAACGGGACGTTATTTAGAAAATAATGTCATTATGAATTTTCCAGAAGCTAGATTATTAACCTAACTTGATCACATACATCATCTTGTGTCCGTAACCACAACCTTTTACAATGTGGTTCATAACAGGAGATACAGAAAGTGTCCTGTGAGCAGGGACAATCAAAACATAGAATAAAACTAATAAAAAAACCGAAGACAAAGTTCTGGAATTGAGTTGACTTTATAGGGTTCGAATAACCAGATTCTTATAGGCTAGAAATTTGATTAGCATGATGTGAACAGATTTAAGTAAATAAGGAGTTAATATTTCCTAAAGCCACTTAGGTACCGGGTTGTTGTCCACCACAAGTTTTCATGTCCTATCAGTCATTAATATTGCTGATAACCGACCAGTTTTAAAGAATTTTTCAGATCAGCTTATTTTGTGAACAGGAGGACGATAATTCGAGTTATTGATGATGCAGTACTTTTGTACACGAAACTCACACATATACGACGTTCTCAGATTCAACATCACACAGACACGAGAAAAAAATTGAAAGATTATGTTCAGTCAGAACGAGTGTTGGATCCTCAAACATAGATGACTTCAGTGTCTTGCATACTCGATTGGTCACTCTTATTACACCATCACCATTGGTTCAAATGTTAATCTCGACAGTTTACGAATATCAACTATGGAAAGTGTCGTTTGTTTTATATGGTGCTACTCCTTAACCTGAACTTGTTTTAGTTGTAATGTCCCACTGAAAAATATTGGTGTTCTATTGATAAGAAGGTATTTTTGGTCATATGAAACATTAAGATCAAATCCAAATGATTACTTTGATTTCTCCAGCCAGCTGAATGATGCATTATCCGAGATCAGAATTTGTTTTCCACGTCGAGATACATGAATGAAAAATAATTAGTTTATATTAGCTTATGACAAAGATGTTAAATTACCGAAGCTTTAAGAGGGTATTTTAAATTGTTCGTCTAGCGGACGTTTTGAACGTCTGCATTTTCGTTTGTTTGTTGTAGTGATGTAACTCGATTGTACCCTAACTTAAGTTTTAAACGCAAGTGTTACTATATACCTTTCAATTATTTTGTGCTTGCGGTGGCTTACTATAATGTTTTCTTTGTTCATCTTCCACGTCTGAACATAAGATTCTTTACTGAATACCTACCAATCTTACCAAACTTAACATTTCACATGTTCTAATAAACCTATGTTTATTGAGTTCTTGGAAAACAACGGTTTTAAATTGCAACCTCGTGTTTAGAATTTTGCTTTTGATTTCAAGTGCAAGATATCTGCACATACATATGTTTCTGTTCAGACAAGTTCAAAGTCTTGGGAACAGAAAAAGCATTCGTGGTGTTTGGTCATAAAAGTGAATGTGTTGTCAGTATTTTCTTTTTTCGCGCTTCGGTAATTCAATTCATCAGTCTTGGGGGAGCAGTGTTATGGTTGATGACTTGATAAACTTAAAAATCTGTAGTAGGTCCATGTAGATCTCACTTAAAAAGATTAAATGAATGGTTTCATGTTGTATATTTGTGTAATGTGGCTGTTGCTAATTCAGATCTCAATGTGAATCCCCGGAGAGTTTCGACTAGTGACAAATACTACATAACAATCAAAATTAAACTGCCACAAAAGTCTTTTTGAGATACCACTACAATTCAAATACTTATTGTTGTACTGCAAACGAGATAATAAGCATTTTCCAAATGTATTGAAACAAAATGCATAGCGCTTATAACTAAATATGTAGTCCTCTGACCTTAAACATCTACAGTAATTGGAAAACATGACTTCTATTATTTCCTCCATGTCAGTTAAAAGAATAAGGTCTGGAGTATTACACACTTTACTGGCTTGTGAAGAAGCAGCGTTCCATCTAACTTCGTGCCATGTATTTTGTCATTGTTGAGGTTTTCTTTCACTTTCTAACACCGACGTCAAAATCTTCAAAGGTGTAAATTCTAGTCAGAGGTTTCACTTAAGCTTATTATTGCTTTCCGTGTCTAAGTATTATCATATCTTCTCAACCAGGCTCGCCGAACAAATGTATCACTGTTCCTTGACCAGAATATCGTACCATATTACTGAATAATGGCTAAGGCGTTCGACTTTCGCCCACTAAGCCTCACGATATAACCCCGTTCTAGTTGCGTCAGTTTGGGCAACCGAGTGGTTTCTACAGTCCTCATATTTGGAGTTTGGCCCATATCCAGGTATTTGGTGAATGAGTTAATTTTAAATCGTATGCCATTTTATGGTTTATAATAGTTACAAAACGATCGACTATATATATATATATATATATATATATATATATATATATATATATATAAGCTGCGTGATAGTCATTCAACAATTACTTATACCTTGATTGTAATCTGACTGATTACTCGACACTTGATGTTTCATAAGTTTCACCTGGTCTAGCAATATCAAACAATATGAAGTTAAAATCTTTACACTTACCAAATAATTGCTAATACCGTGGTTTCGTTACGAAATCTGGTCCTGATTATCAGTATAAAACGAAGGTACTAAGAGTGTGAAACTCCAAAATCGCCAGAACAGTGTATGTATTGTCCGAAAATGCTTTCATGGGATTTAAATCCCGAAATAGACAGACTATTTGTCTTCAGTACTTACATCAAAAACAATTAATCACTAATTTTTCCTCATTTGGTGATAATTTCATTCCCAAAAGTCATCTGGTTACTCATAAACTATTAAACTGAGTAAAAGAGCGTTGCAATAGGTAAATATTTATGTTGATGAGAGTTAGCACCATTTACCAGTCACTTTAACGTTGGGTATTTCAACAGTAATATGTCCGCTGGGGTCAGTGAGTCCTACTTCAGTTTCAGTATGTTGGGGGGAATGAGAACTTACAGTACGTTGTTTGCCTCAATGTGAAAACGTGGATAACATCATAAGCAGATGCCATCTGACTAATTGTTCGTACCCAGTGTGAGCTTCCTTATTCACTTGTTTATCACGTATGAAATAGACTCTAGACAATTACTTCCCTACCTTACTAGATACCTTGAGATGGGCAAGTTTCTACATGGAAATGAATTTCTTCCAATTATTTATTCCCGTTAAAATTATTGTTAGTATAACTTATTTGTCAACCATATTTTCATGTACAGCCTTAACCCTTCATATTTCAGTTGAGAGTTATTTATATTACTCAGTTGATTAAATCAAAGAGGGCGTAGTTGGATTCAAACCTGCTATCAAATAGTTAGAAGCTGAATGCTTTTAATCTTAAGCCAGTGGTCCACATTCTATTTTTGTTAGTTTTACATGCTGTATACCACTTCCTGGGCCGTCACATAGTGTACTTTTGTTCATTTCTAAATAACTTGATACGTTCTCTGTTTCGAAGCTCAGTTAGTACACAATTAGATTTTAATAGAATGAGCTTATATTTAAGGTTGTAAGTAATTTATTGAGTTGACTGTTACTCCAGTTATTTGTTACTGTCATAAACGCTGCTATTTCTGCTTAGCAACCATTGTACTGAAGTTGATCATTTTCTTTTTTAGAATTCCGATGAAATTTCTATGCGTCTTGAGCACTCTTCTGTCCAATACATCTTTTTTAATCATGGTGTATCCTCACTTTTATTTGACATCCCAATACTTGCTCAACTCAGTTTAACAAATTTGATCCTATTATTTTTCATGATCAACTCTTCATTAAATTCTGAAATGGACGATTTTGATGATAATGGAAATAGGCTTGTCCGACGTAAATGGTGCCCATGGTCTTCATGGAGTCCGTGCTCTCCAACTAAGTGCTTCAAAGGCTTTGTAAACAAGAATCCTTCATATTGGTCGAACCGTGAAGAATTCCATGTCGTTGATGACACACAGATTACAAACTGTGTTCTACTACCAAAAAATAATACCAAAAAACCTAGTCGAGCATATGTACGACAGACAATACAAGGTCAACATAAAATTCTTGTTCCTGAAAAACAACGTTTTCGTACCTGTGATTGTCAGTCAGTTTCCTTACTGAATGTATTCCGTTTGGTTAGTCGGCATGAATGTTTTCGTAAGTTTGATTTATTATATGCTTTTTACCATGATGAATTTTGATTGTTAAGTTAGTGAGTGCTTTATTTACTAAGCTCTGACCAATTTGTACAGTATAATAAGTGTAAACTTCCTAGTTAAATATACATATTGCACTGTTTCAACTGTTAGATTCCAGTCGTGCCTTCTGCTTCTGAAGGGAGTCTCTGACCAATAAATAATGAATCATCATTTGGTTAGACACTAACTTTATTTAATAACATCAATTTTAACTCTACTAGTCAAAATCATTACTTATAAATTTATTTTCAATAAAAGGCTTTTCTTTATCAACTGATTATAACAAGTAATCATAGCTTATTGCATGTAAGAATTACGAGTCTGTTTGTTTACATTAAGTTGATCATCAGTGAAATTCGTTTCCCAAGTAACGATTCCCACGCACTGAACTTGAAATTACACTTTGTTAAAGTGCTGTCGGTAATGCTTGTATCCTTAAACCAAATTAGGTGAAGTGGGTTTAGAATCTCCAACCTACCCGTTAGGAAGTCGTCTATCTTAGTCATTAGCCTGTCAATTACTTGATTAGTCGTCATGAATTAACGTTTTGGTTGTATCTCCCTTTGATCTGATTCCTGATCCTATATTTATTTGTTATTTTTGTAATCGGTTGGTAGATTAAGTTGATTTTAATGTGTCAGTTGACTGCTGATTGACCTGAATGCCAAGCTTCTAAAAATTATCTGGTGCTTTTAATATTCCCTCTATCCAAGATCTCGACATTTTTCCAGTCGGATTTTTATTCGCAGTTGTCCACATGCATTGATATAAGCTTAGATATGTCATGGCGTTTGATCTGTAATTAATATTTATTCAGGCGAAGATGAAGAGGGCGTCGACTTTGTCCAATATAGTGTTTTTGTTTGTAGACGATGTCCGGTTTTTCTTTTGTCATTTCGTCCTTTGGTTTGCATAGGATTGATCAGAGTGGTTTCACTGGTTTCTGTGCTAATCCTATTCCAAACGGCTTCAATAATCTTTTGATTTCTGGTGTGTCTTTTACATATGGTAGGATGGTCCGTTTGTTAGTTTCTGTACTTGATTTCTCTGCTGCTGATGAGTCAGGTTGATATACTTTTTTAAATGAATTTGCGCGGGTGGCTGTTCTTTTGAATAATAGTCACTAGATATTTTTCCGCGCTGCAAGTGTGCTGCAGTGTGTTCTCACTTTTTTGAATAAGGTTTGTATGCAGTTAATTTTGTGAGTTCTTGGGTTGTTGCCAGTGTAATTGAGAAATTAACCTGCATAGGTTGGCTATATACTAGAAAAAACAAAAACAGTGATTAATTTATAAAAAGTTGGGCGACTTTGAGTACAAACGTAAATTCAGTTTAGTATGGAACAGGCATTCATGAAAACTAATTATAGGAAATTCGACTAATTAATTATCCAATCAGTCAATAAGATAGAAACACAATTTCAAGAGGGAATTTTATTTATTTAGGTTTACTGAAATGTAGTGGTTGTAATCAAAAAGAAAGAAGCCGTGACCGGTGCAGTCCAGTGCCGTTAAAAGCGAGCACTTTGCAACAAATATCGTCGGATAATGTTCGGATAGTGCTGCGAATTGGTTGAAAATAGCAACACACTATTTAATACCAACTCAGTAATCGAAATGTGATATACTCACTACCAGCCCTAGGCTCGATTCCTGACGAGGTCGTGAGTGGAAATTGCTAGGAAGTCCCATACTAGGATGAAATAGCTGTTCAATACTTCCTTGTTTTTTACCAGTTGTCTATCTGCAGTCAGTTCGTGGTATAAAGTCAGCTGATGTCAGTGATGCATGAAAATTCATTTTAGCAGATGTATAATAGTTATTGATCCAACTAAAGGTGAACTTACCTTTGGGTTTAGGAAGCTAGGTAGTAGCACCGCTACGTTTTTCATTAATAGTCTGCTTGAAAGTCAAGTTTGTACTCGTGATACATTCGTGCACCAGCTGAATTATTTCACAACTCCAACTTCAATACGGTAAATGGGATAACTTCGCCCCCAAATGCCCTGGTACGTCCGAGAGTGGGGAGGGTCAACTCTCTCCCTCTCTCTCGAAATGCTCTCACGTGGCCACGTGCATAAAACCACTGCCGGGTAAGTCCTATTCACTGCCTTCTCGCGGTATTACTGTTGTTTACAAAATTGATGAGCAGAACACTTTGGGGATCAGTTCAACTGGCCTTCAGCCACACTTCAGTTTCCCACGATCTCCAGTCAACCTGAATGGCAAGTTAGTGTGCGTCCTCCGACTCTTTATGAAGTTGAAAAAGCTATCAAAAATCTGAAGCGAGGGAGAGCAGCAGGCCCTGACAGGTTTACTCCTGAGATTTTTAAGGATGGTGGTTCAATATTAACGGTGAGATTAACTGAGGTCTTGGGTAGAATTTGGGGACTGGATGCAATCCCATCTGACTGGTCTCAATCACTGATTGTGCCAGTCTATAAGAAAGGACAAAAGTCCTCTTGCGACAATCACAGAGGAATCAGTTTGACTAATATAGTGTCTAAAATATTAGCTTCAATAATACTTCGACGCCTAATCAAAGCTCGTGAAGAGCAGACAAGAGAAAACCAGGCCGGTTTTCGACCTGGACGTGGTTGTATAGATCAGATATTCACACTACGTCAGGTTCTAGAACACAGACACACATTCAGACGCCCCACAATTGTAGTATTTCTCGACCTTACGGCAGAATTCGACTCTGTTGATCGTGAGGTTCTATGGCTGTGTTTGTCACTGAAAGGAGTACCAAAGAAGTACATTAACCTTATGAAGGCTCTCTACTCAAACACAACTGGTCGAGTGAGAGCTTATGGTGAACTGTCATCAGAATTGATTACCTCAAGTGGTGCTCGTCAGGGCTGTCCACTCTCTCCATTCTTGTTCAACTTTGTCGTCGACGTACTTTTAGAGATAACACTTTCCTCGTCTAGATTTCCAGGGGTTGAACTTCTACCGGGAGGTTCACTTGTTGACTTAGAATATGCCGATGACATAGTTTTATTTGGTGAAGACGCTGACAAAATGCAGAGTCTTCTGACCACTCTAAGCAACAATGCAAGCATGTTCGGGATGCGATTCTCTCCCTCGAAGTGCAAAATGTTGCTTCAAGATTGGGTTACATTGACAACCGAACTAGTGATAGGGAGTGAAGAAATTGAGTGTGTCGATCGCTTCACTTATCTTGGAAGTCTCATCATCCCTTGTGGTCTGGTGTGTGACGAAATCTCAGCACGGATACAGAAGGCTTGACTAGCTTTTACCAACTTGCGTCATTTATGGCGTAGGCGAGATATCCGTCTACCAACCAAAGGATGTGTTTACTGCGCAGCAGTTCGTTCCGTCCTACTTTATGGCAGTGAAACGTGGCCGGTAGTCAGTCAGCTACAACGTAGGACCAGGCACATATGTGCATCGGTCCAGGTTGCCATACCGCATCAGCACAACGAGATGAACACCGGATTCATAGGAGTGGTTAGGTCAAAGGTGGTAATATATAGGAGAAAAATGGCATATAAGGATACAGTACAGAAAGAAAGAATTAGTTAGTAGAAAGAAAGATATGAAGTGATTTTAATCTCTTAGTTTAAGGCAAGACAGGGAGTGTATACACCTACGCCATTGTGATCGATTTTGAGCCATGTCACCAAGAGTCTCCAACCATTGGTTACGAAAGTCACGCGGACCCCAACCAAGTAGTCTGCATCTACCAACATGGCTCAGACTAGAGGTTAGTGTCTTCAAGCACTGATGCTACGTTTTGGTTTGGCCGCCCCTTACTTTCTTCCAACCATCTCTAACACCCGTTAGCATTGCACGACGTGGTAATCGGTGTTCAGGCATACGTAACACATGGCCCAACCATCTCAGTCGATGAAGATTCACAACCTCATCGACTGATTTACCATCCTTCCCTAATACCCTGCGTCTAACCTCACTATTACATACATGGTGATCCCAACAGACGCCAGCAATATTTCTAAGGCATCTGTGGTCAAATACTAGTAGCTTACGGGTGTCTTCTACTCTTAATGGCCATGTTTCGCTGCTGTAAATTAAAACAGAACGGACTGCCGCGCAGTATGCTCATCCTTTTATTGATAGTCGGATATCTCGCCTTCGCCATAGATGACGTAAGTTGGCAAAAGCCAAGCGAGCTTTTCGAATCCGTGCTGAGATTTCGTCAGACACCAACCCATTAGGGCTGATCAGACTGCCAAGATAAGTGAAGCTGTCAACGCATTCGACTACTTCATTCCCTATCCTTAGTTTAGGTGTTGACGCAGACCAGTCCTGAAGCAGCAGCTTGCATTTAGAGGGAGAGAAGCGCATTCCAAACATTCTGGCATTGTTGCTTAGTGCTATCAAAAGACTGCATTTTATCAGCGTCTTCACCAAACAGGACTATGTTGTCTGCGTATTCCAAGTCGATAAGTGGACCTCCTGGTAGGAGATCAATACCCGAGAACTCAGTCGACAAGAAAGTTATTTCCATCAGTAGATCTATGATGAAGTTGAACAAAAATGGGGAAAGTGGACAGCCTTGACGGACACCACTTGAGGTTGCAAAAGTAGATGACAGTTGCCATAAGCTCTGACTCGACTAGTAATGTTCGAGTAAAGAGCCTTCACAAGGTTTGTGTACTTCTAAGGTACGCCTTTCAATGACAGACACTACCTCAGAATCTCGCGGTCTACCGAGTTAAATGCTGCTTTTAAGTCAAGAAAGACCACCATTGTCGGACGCCGATAAGTATGCCTGTGTTCTAGAACCTGACGAATGGTGAATATGTGGTCGATGCAGCCACGACCAGGTCTGAAGCCAGCTTGGTTCTCTCGTGTTTGCAGTTCACGAGTCTTAGTTAGGCGTCTGATAATTATCGAGGCTAGTATTATAGATACTATGTTTGTTAAACTAATCCCTCTGTGGTTGTCACAGGATGATTTTGACCCTTTCTTA